TAGCCAAAGCAGTCTTGAACAAGAAGAATGGAGCTGGAGGAATCAACCTTCCTGACTTCAGACTATACTGCAAAGCTACAGTCATCAAGACAGTATGGTACTGGCACAAAAACAGAAATACAGACCAGTGGAACAAGATAGAAAGCCCAGAAATAAACCCATGCATCTATGGGTATCTTATTTTTGACAAAGGAGGCAAGAATATACAATGGGGCAAAGACAGCTTCTTCAATAAATGGTGCTAGGAAAACTGGACAGCTCCATGTAAAAGGCATGCCAAAGTTAATAACAACTCTTAGAATACAGATCTTAAATACATACTGTCATTTCACAAGTAAACTTTTATTTTCTTTTGGGCATTATGTAATAGAATAAGGAAAGGATCAGCTAACATAAACCAGCATTCTGATAATTTGCTGGGAAGATTTTTTTTAAAAATTCCAATAAAGAATAATTTCTGGTTGTTTCATGGTAACCCTTGAAAGATAAAATATATACCACTTAATGACAAATAGAAGTCTGTTTCTATGGTTTTGTTATTCTTTCCTCTTTGATAAAACACATGCAATGAACCATTGTAAGCCACAGATTTTATCTGGAAATAAACAATATTTTCCATTCAGTCAAGTATATTGACTGAAAGCTGATGATGATCAAATTTTTATGATAGATATTTAGATATTCTAAGAGGCATAATTAGTGATCAAATTATCAAAAGATTCAACAATTATACTGCAGTCGAGTTTATAATTATGGACCTGAGGATTTTAATTATATACTCCTATTTTATAACTCAGCTGTAAAAACAAACATTCAAGAGGAGGAAAAGATGAGCCTATTGAGTGAGAAACCAGAATATGTAAATTTTTCTTTATAATTTGGGGTGGCAATTCTGCTTTTAATGGCCTGTTTTTAAGTATAATTATTTTAGGGGAAAGGCCCATGTTTCCTTTGAATGGCATCCACACTTTCCATTTTTTAAGTTTCATGTGTGTGGAAGGAGGGCATACATCAAATAGGTAGGTTAGGTCCTAAGGGGAGGAAAAGGGTGGCTGTCATTTTGGAAGTGGGAGGAACTCTAAAACCTGCATGGTTCTTGTCAAAAGGTTGGGGAGGGGACACCATGCCAGGAGCCAGCACCAGAGAATCTCTAATTTATGGCTATTTACAGAAAAAAAAGCTGCCATACTGAAATCCAACAAACAAGATAAAACAACAACAACAAAAAGCCCTCCTGCTGTTTATATATGAAAAGTTAACCAGAAATTAATATCACTTTATCTGGATAGTGGCTATCCTATACAGACCTCTACCCAAATTCATTAAAATGAAAATCCTTTTGCATCCAGTAGAAAAACTAACTTTTTCTGGCTGCTCAAAGTCAATTATTAATAAGACAGCAAGGGAATGACAGACTTTTGCATAACTGGTTTATGGTAGTTTGGATGTATCAGTACTCATATTACCTGCATTTCTGTCTTTCTTTTTTTTCATTTATTTTTATTAGTTGGAGGCTAGTTACTTTACAATATTGTAGTGTGTCTTTCTTTTACATAAACAGGCAGTGGCTGTTCTTGATTCATGAGGACTCTCAAAATTTTGCAGGATAACTTGACAAATTCATTTTATTGCTTTAAAATTTTCATTTCATTGTGCGAGAACACTTAATATGAGATCTACTCTCTTATTGGACTTTTAAGTGTACAATACAATATCGTTAACTATAAACACAAGGGTGTATAGCACCTCTCTAGAACTAATCTTGTATGACTGAAGTTTTAAAACTGTGGAGTAACAATTCTTCATTTTTCCCTCCTGCCCATCCCTGGTAACCACCACCCCGCTCTCTGCTTTTATGAGTTTGATTAGATACCCAACAGGAATCATGCAGTATTTTTCCTTCTGTGACTGGCTAACTTCGCTTAGCATCATGCCTATGTTGTTGTATACTACCAGATTTTCTACTTTTAAAAGATTAAATGATTTTCCTTTATATGTATATAGCACATTTTCTTTATCTGTCAGTGGACATTTAGCTTATTTCTATATCTCAGCTATGGTGAATAATTCTGCAGTTTGAGAGTGATGATATCTCTTTGATATCTTGATTTCAATTTTACAGATTCAGTGGAATCACTATCAAAATCTCAATGGTGCTTTTTATAAAAATGGAAAAAAATAATTCTAAAATTTCATATGGAACCACAAAAGACCAGGAATTGCCAAACAATCTTGAGAAAGAAGAATGAAGCTAGAAGTATCTCACTTCCTCATTTCAAAATTCTTTACAAAGAAAATTAATATGGTACTGCATAAACATCTATGTGTAGACCAATAAAATAGAGTAGACAGCCAAGAAGTAAATCTATTCACAGATAGTCAACTGATATTCAACAGGAGTACCAACAATACACAATAGGGAAAGAAAAGCTTCCTCAACAAATGATACTGGGAAAAAATGAAATTGGACTCTTACAACATAGACAAAAATCAACTCAAAACCAATTAAAGACTTGAATGTAAGAACTGAAATGGTAAAACTCCTACAAGAGAACATAGTAGAAAAGTTTCATGACATTGATCTTAGCAATGATTTCATAGATGTGACACCAAAAACATAAGCAACAAAAGCAAAAATAGACAATGAGGACTACATCAAGCTATCAATAAAAATCTTCCGCACAGCAAAGGAAAAAATCAAAGTGAAAAGGCAGCCTATGGAATGGGAGAAAATAATTGCAAACTACATACCTGATAAGTGGTTAATCTCCAAAATATATATGGAACTTCTACAACTCAATAGCAAAACGTCCCTGATAATGCAATTTAAAAATGGGCTAAGTACTTGAACAGACATCTCTCCAAAAAAGACACACAAATAGCCAAAAGATGTTTAATAAAATGCTCAATGTCACCAATTATCAGGGAAATGCAAATCAAAATCATAATCAATTATCGCCTAATAATAGTCAGGGTAGTTATTATTAAAACAAAACACCAAAGACAACAAGTGCTGGCAAGGATGTAGAGAAACTGAAAACCTTGTACACGGTTGATGGGAATGCACAACGACATGGTCATTATGTGAAATAGTACAGGAGTTCCTCAAAAAATTAAAAGCAAACTACCATATGATTTAGCAATCTCATTTCAGGGTATATATCCAAAAGATTTATTTCTGAGTTGGCCTAATGACCTGGTCTTTAATCCTAACTTAAAATTCATCTCTTTGTGACACCAAGAGAGAGGGGGAAAACAATTAACTCCTACATTATGACATTCTTGTCACACTCTTGTATATGATGAAATATTTAGTTTAGGCATAGACTAAATAAATTTGAGAGTCAAGGCAATTATCTGGGTTATTCAAGCTAAAGAATAATTTTACTTATATAATTGGGGGAAAAGTGATTTTAAGAAAAGTTTTAATTACCTAGAAAAAATCTGTAGTTCTCCACATGAAGGACAGATATTTGGAGAAAACCACCATCATATTTTTAATAAATGTTCCTTGGGAGTACTTACTTTGTAATTATACCACTTGCACCATCCTCCAGAAGATGGCATGCAAGTTTTGTTTTGTTTTGTTTTTGGCATGCAAGTTTTTAACATACTTTAGCCAGTAGTTTTGGTTTTGCTAAATGATCTTGTAACAAGCAATAACAATGAATCACATCACAGAATAAGCTTTTTTTTTTTTGCCTTACAAATTGCAAATATAAACATTCAAACAATGTTTTCTATAACTAAAGACCATTCCCTTTCAAAGATATGCATGAATAGAAATCAATATCTTAAGTCTATGGGCTTCCCTGGTGGCTCAGTGGTAAAGAACCTGTCTGCCCATGTGGGAATTGTGGGTTCAGTCCCTGGGTTGGGAAGATCCTCTGGAGAAGGAAATGGCAACCCACTCTAGTATTCTTACCTGGGAAATCCCATGGACCTCTGGAGGGCTACATCCCATGGAGGCACAAACAGTCGAACACAACTGAAGCACCTTAGGATGGAGCATATATAAACGTCAAACGAAGTTTTGACTGTGACTAGCCTATTCAAAGTTCACGCTGTATTGAATGTTCAAGACAAGACAAAACAAACAAAAGTGTTCTGCTATTCATGTTTGAAAAACACATGTTTATGAGAGTAAGAAAGGAATTATGAATAAAATATTTCATTTTTGGAGACTTTATTTGATTATTTTAAAGTATGCCTTAAAACAGTTCCTGGGACAACTGGGAAGTAGCATGTTGATTTATCTGAATATTACTGTGGTTCTTTACCTTTGTGGAAATAATATGGTCACTTGGGATGCTTTAATAAAAAACAGATGCCAGGCTCCCTCCTCAGATTAAATTAGAATCTCTGGAGGTGGGATCTAGGAATCAGCATTTTTTAAAAACCTACCCAGGCATTCCAGTGATACTTCAGATGTCAAAGTTCTCTGACAGTACCTACTGTGGAGGGACTTCCCTGCTGGTTCAGTGGCTAAGACTCTGTACTCCCAATATAGGGGGCCTGGGTTTGATCCCTGGTCAGGGAACTAGACCCCACAAGGGGCAACTAAGGGTTCACATGCGACAACTAAAACTCCTGCGCCACAGATGAGACTGGGTACAGCAAATGAAATGAAAATTAATCATATTTTTTAAAGTAATCAAAACCATTAAAAACATTAAAAAAAAATAACTACTGTAATTGCATTCTCATTTGCTTGTGGCAGGCATCACTAATCACATATGGCACTTTTCCAACCGGAGTTCACAGTCTTAAAAATGCTCTGGGAAGCTCTTGCCAATCAATTCAGAGTTGATATGAATCCTACTTGATATCAGAGTTATCAAAGGATATGGGACAGAGTGAGCTGTTCCGTGGAAGGCAACGGGTTTCTTAATGTGGTAACTAACTCCACTGTCTAGCATGAGTCAGCCAAACAACTGTTTTCACCTACTTGTAACAAAGGACATTTCAGAGACTGTAGGGGATAATATCCATACACTTACCATATCTCCTTGGAAACCTTGTACCTCTTCTGCCTGATGCTCCGCAGCTCCTATCAGCTTCAATGTGCTTCTGCTTCCTTCCACACGAGGAGGGCTATCCTTGGACTTTTCTTGCACTTCAAAAGGCCGGAAGCGCCTGGAAATTTCCATCTCCCTGGGGTAGTCCTTAACCACAGAATGAGGGAGAGAGAGAGCAGGAAAGCCCCATCTCCCTTTCTTGGAGAGGGTAAAGCTCAGAGGTGTGAGGTCCCGTCGGCAGCTCCCCCGGGGGATCAGGCTGAGACTGCCTCTGTGGGCTTTGGAGGGAGCAATTTGCTTGGCTTCCTCGCCTTCTCTCTTCTGTTTCCCTCACTTCCACCTTAGTTTTCCTGGAGTACTTAGTTAATAAATCTCTGGCTCAGAAATTTTCACTACTGGATCAGTTTCTGGGGAATCCCTGCAACAGAGGCTGAAACCTAAGACCTCTAGGCTCTAGGAGCAGCTCTACAGACCAGGCTTTGCATCACGCAGAGCAGCCCATCTGGTGGAAACATGTGAGTTTGTGTGGTAACAAACTCTGCTTTCTGGCACGAGTCAACCCAACAACTGTTTTCAGCTGCTGTAACAAGGGAAGATTTAGAGACAAATATGAGATTATAATCCTAAAGGAAATCAACCCTGAATATTCATTGGAAGGACTGATGCTGAAGCTGAAGCTCCAATACTTTGGCCACCTGATGCGAAGAGCCAACTCATTGGAAAAAGACCCTGATGCTGGAAAAGACTGAGGGCAGGGGGAGAAGGGGGTGACAGAGGATGAGACGGTTGGATGGCATCATGGACTCAATGGACGTGAGTTTGAGGAAACTCTGGGAGATAATGAAGGACAGGGGTGTTGTCTGGCATGATGCAGTTCATGGGGCTGCAGAGTCGGACATGACTTGGCAACTAGACAGCAACAACGAGACAATATCCCTGATCTTCCCAGATCCCCTTGGAAAACTTTATACCTTTCAGTCCATGAAAAATGTGGGACCTGAATAGACTAGTGATGTGTGAGAAGAGGTTGGGTGTGCTTGCTGTATCAATAGATCTCAGATGTGTTGCACAGTGAAGTTATCCAAAGAGTTCTGTATAATATAGATGCCAAGGTGACACCCCTAGTGATCGTAATTTCATTAGTCTGGGATGTGGTCTGGACGTTGGCGTGTTTCAACCTCCCCAAGTGAATCTACTGTACAGCCTAAAAAAAACAGCGTCAGAGTACCGAAAATTCCCTCTGGTCAGCCTACTTTAAATTCACATTTCCATGGCTGATTCATGTCAATGTATGACAAAACCCACTACAATATTGTAAAGTAATTAGCCTCCAACTAATAAAAAAAAAAATTCACATTTCCAGGCCTCCCTGCCCCAAGTATTCTGAAACAAGTACGTCTGTGTATTTAACAAAAGATTATGGAAATTTCATCTGTATATAAAAGTAGAAAGAACAGTGTAATGACTACTCACCGAATCTCTGCTTCAATAATTGATTCATCGATGGAGGTTCTTAATGTGTAGGTGGTCTCAAATCCACAGGTTGAGAAACATCGCAGATTGGTTGTAAAGTTAGCTTTTCAGATGCTGTGACTGCTACCAGGTATATAATAAATACCTGGCTAAGCCCACTGGGAATGTCTGACTTGGTCAGGGATGGCAAATCAGTTTCAACTTCCATGCCCTCTCTGATGGCTAAGAAGGATTCTGAGGCAGTCTAGGTTCAGCCGGCAAGGATACTATGATCAGCACTTGACTAAAGGTCCTTAATCTTCAGCTAGCCACTGAGACAGTGTATTATACATGGTTAATAAAGCTTTATTTTAGAAAGAATGAGGGCGCTAACTGCCCAGTATAACTGTATAGGTAGCAAACTATGCCCATTTTTTATAGGGTGAATGTAGCAGAACGCTCTAATAGGATTAAAATGCAGGGTTATCCCAGGTGACTAGTGGTTAAGAACCCACCTGCCAATGCAGGAGACATAAGAGACGTGGGTTTGATCCCTGGGTTGGGAAGATCCCCTGGAGGAGGACATGGCAACCCACTCCAGTATTCTTGCCTGGAGAATCCCATGGGCAGAGGAGCCTGGTGGGCTACAGCCCATAGGGTTGCAAAGAGTTGGACACAACTGAAGCGACTAACACACATACTAACATAATTAATGTTTAGTCTAGATCCGTGTTTATAGTTTGAAAATACTTTCCTGAAAATGTATCTCTCCTATAAAAAGGTTTCACAGGTGATCTGTGATTAACCAGGATTTGTGCTTTAAGAACATCGAGAATGTCTTGTTATGTAAAAAAAACTTATCACAGATCATACTTGTGTACACATTTCCCTCAAGAAAGTGTCATCTTAGGACAAACTACCAAATTAGTCTTTCAGCAAAGAGCTCAGATTCTAATGTCAGATAGCCTAGGTGGATGTTTAGGCTTTACTATGTTCTGGCTTTGTGACCTTTGGCAAATCTCAACCTCTCTGTGTCTCAGTTGATTTGTAATGAGGTTAATAATAGGATCTACCTCAGGGTGATTCTGAAGATTAGATAACGTCATACATCTAAAGGCCTTAGAACAGTGCTTGACAGATAGTATTCAGTAATAGATAATGTTAAATTCTTCTTAGATAATAAACTCTTTGAGCTTTTCTCTTATCTTTCTGCCTACCTTGATTTTCTATTCCTGCTCATCCTCCTCCTGTTAGATCTTCCAGTGTTTTTCTGGGCTTCATCTTAGTCTTCCCTTGCCCTCTGCTCCTTTCCCTCCCTTATTTTCCTTTAAACAGTAACACTGAATTGTTGCCATTCAGTTGCTAAGTCGTGTCCAGCTCTTTGTGACCCCATGGACTGCAGCATGCCAGGCTTCCCTGTCCTTCACTATCTCTCAGAGCTGGCTCAAACTCAGGTTCACTGAGTCGATGATGCCATCCCAGCATCTCGCCCTCTGTTGCCCCCTTCTCCTCCTGCCCGGAATCTATCCAACCTCAGGGTCTTTTCCAAAGAGGTGGTGGCTCTTCATATCAGGTGGCCAAAGCATTGGAGCTTCAGCATCAGTCCTTCCAGTGAATATTCAGGGTTGATTTCCTTTAGGATTGACTGGTTGGATCGTTTTGCTCTCCAAGGGACTTTCAAGTCTTCTCTGGCACCACAGTTTGAAAGCATCAATTCTTCAGGGTTCATCTTTCTTCATGGTTCAACTCTAGTGTCACTGTATCTTCATCTGTGTAAACATTCTAAATCCCTACCCTAAATATTTAAAAACAAGTTTATAATGTTTTTTTTTTTTTAAAGATTTTGTTGTTGTTGTGGACCTATTTTAAAGTCTTTATTGAATTTTTTACCATACTGTTTACATACTATTTCATGTTTTGGTTTTTTGGCCACAATGCATGTGGGATCTAAGGTCCCTGACCAGGGATAGAAAGTGCAATCCCTGCATTGGAAGGCAAAGTGTTAAGCACTGGACCACCAGGGAAATCTCAATGGGAGCCAGGCAGTATAACATGATGCTCTGAAGTCAGAAAGATGTGGGCTTGAGGTTCAGGTTAACCATGGATTGGTTATGTGTTCGTGGATCATTTCCTTGACATTTGTACACCTCAGCTTCCGCATCTGTAAGATGGGGCTGAGCAGAGTACGAATCTCTTAGCATCGTTTCAAGGATTAAATGAGACAGTCCAGGGAAAAAGGCTAAGCACAGAATCTGAGTCAGAGTAGAGGGTAGCCATCACCGTTCTTTCCATGAACACGGAGGAATCCAGAAGAGCCCTGTCACTGCTCTTGAAACACAGAAGCCCTAATTCTCCTCGCTGGGTTTGGCCTGCAGTCTGGGCTCTGACATTTCTGATTCCCAAGCATCTCTGAAAGCAAATAGCCACGAACAAGGCTTTCAGAGAAGAGAATAAAGTGGATTTGGAAGCTAAGTCCATCCAGAAAGACATAAAACTCCCCTTGCCACACTTCCCACTGTGAGCTGTTGAAATAATTCTCAACTTAGGAGTGAAGCTACCATTGTTATTCTTTACTAGTGGATGGTGTTATTACAGATAAAATGGGGAGAAATGAATCTAAGTTGCCTGGTCCCACAGAGAGTTAATTTCTCATCCCTTGGACTGCCTTCCTGTTCTGGGAGCATTCACTTAGGTGGTTTTCCCAGTGATGGCCCTGGCTGCCTAGCAACCATCAGCTCCAACCTTCTCTGAACAGCGGCAGGAGTTGTTCATATCAGTGCCATCAATTTTTTTTTAAAGACTATCTCATTTTATGAAAAATTAAACCTCATAAAAATGCAGCTTCCCAATATATGTTGTTCCCAAACAGTGGTTGACAACTCTAATACAGGAACTGAATTGAGAACTGCAAATTCTTGAGTGGTTAGGCACATAAATGTAGGTGTCTTTTAAAACATCTTATTTTTTTTTTATATATAACCAGTGCTTTTGAGCACCCTCGAATATTAAACCACCAGCCGTCCTTCGTCCTCCCACCATGAAATGGGCATCATTATTCCTGTTTGCCCTAAAAGTAGATAGGTGATGGATTCTTCTGCAGTTCCTGAATGCTAATTTCTACAACATTGTTCTACAGCAAAGGCAGAACTCAATTCTATCTTATTTATATGTGTAGAAATGGATGGTGTGAATTTAAATTAATCAGAACACCGTGATGCATCAGAAAATCAATAAATTAAAAGGTCACAAATTTCTCCAAATGATTTTTAGGCTGCTTTGCAATCCTTCTGGGTTTAATCTTCTCTATTAAATTATCTCCAGGTCTACACAATTATTAAGCCAGTAGTGCTCGGTTTAATTAACTCCTGATATTAATCCTCCCATGGATGATTTGCCTGAGCTTTTTCTAATAATTTCTTACCTATTTCAGAAACGCGAATCTCACCTACCCTCTTTGGCAAAGCAAACAAAACAACAACAACCAAAACCCCCCAAGCCCAAGCAAGCTGTCTTAGTGATGCAGTGTGGTAAGTAAAAAAGCATTATGAAAAGCTCAGCTCTTAGACTGGAGACACACCATTTGAATTTTCTAATCTTCAGTGTTCCTATCTGTGAAATGGGGAGTAATATCAGTAACCTATGGCAGAGTTGTTATGATCATTAAAACACAATGCATTGGAAGCATTTAACAGAAAACTAGAAGGTAATATAGATGAAAGTCAAGGAAAAAAAGACAAGTTAAAGTATTGCTTGTACCTGTGTGTTGTGTGTGCTTAGTCGCTCAGTCATGTTTGACTCTTTGTGACCTCAAGGACTGTAGCTGCCAGGCTCTTCTGTCCATGGAATTCTCCAGGTGAGAATACTGGAGTGGGAGGCCATTCCCTTCTCCAGGGGGTCTTTCTGACCCAGGGATTGAACCTGGGTCTCTTGCAGGCAGATTCTTTACTGTCTGAGCCACCAGAAAAGCCCCTGGTGGTACCTACACACATAAAATTAGATGAACAGACATCTCAATATTCCTGTTTTCCCCCTCCACAGCTCCCTGTCTTCTCAGTCCTCCCTGAAAAACGTGTACCGCCAGCATCACCAAGTCAACAGAAAACAGTCTGTCAGGTTCTCATTAAACAATCAGTACTCTTTTCTAAATGTAAGTCCTTTTCATTTAACTTTAACTTTCATTAGAGTGTTGTGAGACATACGTGTTCAGATAACATACTGAATATAACAGATTAGGAAAATCCACTTTTAATATTTAAGGGCAAACGAACTGGCTTGAAGTTGGTTAAATGGAGTACAATTTCATCAGCATCGTCATAGGCAGGCATAAGCATGTTCACATGTGGTGGGTGGGAGGGGGGTGGCCCAGAGTACAGAGAGATTTCAAGACTGGTTCTTGGAGGTGTATGTCATCTGGTTATTTCAATGTCTCTGCAATATTTTGCTTTCTCTTCCTGTCCAATAAACAGTACTTCCTTCCCCTAGAGGGCTCTGGCTTCACAATCGACAGCATCGGAATAATTTCTACATCAGCACTTTTGGATTTTGAGAGTAAAGCTAGAAAGTAAATACTGCTAGTGGCTTTTCATTTACTCAAAATGTCTACCCTTCGGCCCATAGTTTCCTTTTCCAGAGGATTTCACCCCATCTGGCTTCAATGTGCTCCCAAATGAATGTGCTTTTGGCACTGCCTTAGATATGAAATCATCATCTAAACTGTAATTGCACAGTTATTGGTTTAGGTACTAGCTGTGGCTATTAGGGCCCTTCTCTTCATCATCCACTTTCTTCAAAGCCAGGCATCAAGGTGATTTCAGTGATGGCGTTTGTGACCTGCCGTAGAAGGCGGTGGGGACTTCTCCCTGGATGACTGGGGCACAGAATTCATTCCCAATGTAATCTAGCAACTCTGAAAAGTTAATGGACTGACATTTTCTTCTGATTTCCTCCACATCTGCTGTAGGGGGTCGGTTCACAGCTCTTATTTCTATTTTTATAATGGTTTTTATGACCACCCTTTTCAGTCTTATGTTCTGCGTCAAAGTGCTTTACAGGGAAATGAAATAGACCTTTAAACCATTCTAGTCAGCTTGCTCCTGAATCTCATAAGGACATTCTTCATGATTATGAAAGTTGAAGATGCAATATATCCTGGGTTAGCATCTTCAGTAAAATAGATTGAGGATTCAAAAATGGCATGTCACTGTCCCATATACACACACACACACACACACACACACATATATATATATACACACAAATGAACTTAAAAAACAGAAAGAGATTCACAGACTTGGGTGCCAGGGGGTGAGGTGGGAGGAGAGATGGTTAGGGAGTTTGGGATCAACAAGTACACCCTGCTATATTTAAAATGGATAACCAGCAAGGACCCAATGTATTGCACAGGGAACTCTGCTCAATGTTATGTGTCAGCCTGGATGGGAGAAGGGTTTGGAGGAGAATGGTTACATGTATATGTACGGCTGAGTCCCTCTGCCGTCCACCTGAAACTATCACAGCATTGTTAATTGGCTATACTCCAATATAAAAAAAAAAAAGTTTAAAAATGGGATGTAACTGAAGTCAGCAGGAGCATGCTCCTAAATCTGTATATATCATTATTTGGGAGGTAGAAATTGCCAGAATCTTTAAACTCTCAAAATCCTCTGTCCCCATGTTTAACTGATCACATAAATAGTTTTGGAATAATCTTCTTTGTATTTGGAATAATATTTGTTCTTTGGAATAATCTTCTTTGTATTTGTCAGTCAGTTTTCCATATTGAAAAGTCAGTGTTTAAAGGTAAGAGCCCATACCCATAGTTCTGTTTGCTTTACCACACTAAGGAATTCCCTTCAATTTTTTATTATTGATGGGAATTAACAGACTTCTCTAAATTCCTGCCTGTCCTTTCAACAGATTCGACTAATTTGAGTCTTAACCATTGCCAACTGTTAAAATAACTGGTTTGACTGACATTTTAACTAAATGAATCAATTGTTTTCACTGGTCAGCTAAAGCGAAACAAATTCTATTTCTGTGAAAGCCTGTCAGTTACTATAAAATCTTAGCTGTTTTTCCTGTGGCTACCCTTTCAGTTTCTCACTTGTTATTAAAAAGTGGTTGATCCTGGAGGACTGTTTACTGCTGGGAATCTAAAGATTTTCCTCATCAATGTCAACAATAAGGACCCCATTCTTACCTGCAGGTAAGGAAATAAAATGTTTTCTTTTAAACTGGTCTTGATAATTGAATATAAAATGTAGTCTCCGAAATTCATTAGTGAAATTTCCATTAGAATGAAATAGCTTTTCCTTTCTTTGAAAAAAGAAAAAAAAGTCAGATGTAAGCAATCTCTTAAGTTTGCAAAGAAAAGGCTTTCTTAACAACTGAAAGCAAAGTAGTTTTTTAAAGCATAAAACATATTGAAATTGCAATAGAATTAGGTATTAATGCAATATATTCTTAATATCTGATGGGCTGAATTCTCCCTTATTGCTCTCAAGGAAAATTCTGGTGATAATTATCACCAAGAAGTTTATAAAACCATAATGAAGGGACAGCATTTCTAAAAAACTGGTGCTTACACTAGGGAGCTAAGAGCTCAGTGGTTTAGCATAGTCTCTAGAGCCAGATAGCCTTGGGGTCAAATCCTTTCTTAGACACCTTGGTATTTACTTCTGAAAGTTACTTACTATCTTAAAATCTGTTTCCACATCTGTAAAATGGTACCTACTTCCTGGGACTCCTGTGAGGAATAAATGAGGAAACACAAGGAAAGTGCTTAGCATTGAGTCTAAACTCTAGGCAAGTATTCAATAAATGGGCTAACTCCAAGGTCCATGCTTCCCACTCTCATCATACTACTTCTAGCCTCAACCCCTCTACCACCAGAACAAGTGGAAAACAACACACACCAAACCATTGCCACTCTGATAGTCTTCTCTTTTAAATCAAGATCTTTCAACATGGAGAATGCTATTTTGTGTGTTTCCTCTGCAAATTCAAGTCTGCACAATGAAGTCAACATCACACTGGATGAAGAAATTCCAACTGGGAAAACGGTTGCCAGGCAGCCAAAGATTACTTGGGTAACTTAACCTTTGAACTAGATTGAAGGAATGCATACTTTGCAGTTGACAAAGGTAGGTTGAGAGTGTTCTCAAATTCTCTCCCTTATTTTCTACTATTATCATTTGTATTATGTCTCCTTTGCAAGACTGAATTCCTTGAGGGTAGATATCTGATTGTCTGCATTTTCAGAACACCTAAAGAAGCACATGGTAGACAGTAATGTCAGGCGAGTGTATGCTCCTCGGTTCTTTGTCTCATCACAACAAAGATTTGGAGTGATGGACATTAAAGCCCCCTCGGCAGGTCACAGCTCTCCGGTCTTGGGCAGACTGTGTTATAGCTCTCAGGTCTCGAATGGACCGTGTTATAGCTCTTAGACAAATCAGTGTTACAGCGCAGTGTTACAGCTCTACTTTATTTAGAAGACAGCAGGAAAATCCATCTTCCAGGCATGAGGGCACATGGATCCAAAGACACAAAGAAAAGAGGGCCCCATCGCGCGGGGGCAGGGTGGGGCGGGGGCGGTAGGGAGAGAGGGAGGGAGAGAGAGAGAGAGCCCTTTGGCTTCTCTTTTTATATGTTTTTTTCTTCCCCCTGGGCCTGGGCTGAGGCAGGAGCGTTGTTTGACCTGAAGTCCTCACTCCGGTCCTCGGACCTTCCTCTGCTCTATTTTCACGGGCTTTTCCCTTCCTGTCTTTTATCCACCACCATTTTGGACTCCTTTTCCCCTGGTGGCTCAGAGGTTAAAGCGCCTGGCTGCAATGTGGGAGACCTGGGTTCGAGCCCTGGGTCAGGAAGATTTCCTGGAGAAGGAAATGGCAACCAACTCCAGTATTCTTGCCTGGAGAATCCCATGGACGGAGGAGGCTGGTGGGCTACAGTCCATGGGGTCGCAAAAAGTCAGATACGATTGAGCGACTTCACTTTGACTTTCAACATTAATATGCATCTCTTGCATAACTTTTGGCAAAACCTTGTCTTTTGTCCACTTGTGAGCTAAGTTGTGGGTCTTAATGGCTGCTACAGAAGGATAGCTCTCCACTCTTTTGATCTTCTAGCACATCTTTCTAAGCCTAAATCACTTCTCTCTCTGCTCCATGTTCACATTTTTGTGAGAGAGAATCTCTTTGGACTATCTAGAATCCATCACTCCCTTCTTGCCCAATCATGTTGGGGGTAGATCAGGTTATGTGGAATATAAGACTTCTTGGGGGGCTGAACAGACAACAAAGGTGGTCTCTAGCACATCTGCAAGCTTAAGCCATTGTAGCAGATGCTGTCTGTGTCTTTTCCGGCCTTAACATTTTTGTGGCCTGACTTGCAGCTGCCAGGATCTGCATTTCTTTGCTTGAGGGATTATTTGGAGTCTGCCCTTTTCCTCCTCTGCAAAGAGCAGGTTAGAAATGTTCGAAAAACACTACCTATCCCCACAAGCTTTCAACAAATGACCAAAGAGAACTGATGTACAAATATTTCAGCTTTTTGCCCTTGGAGACACAATTCTTTCTTTCTTTCTTTTGTCCTGATGTGGACCATTTTTAAAGTTTTATTGAATGTTACAATATTGCTGCTATTTTATGTTTTGGTTTATTGGTCATGAGCCATGTGGGATCTCGGCTTTCCCCCCAGGGATCAAACCCACACTTCTAGCATTGGAAGGTGAAGTCTTAACCAATGGACCACCAGGGAAGTCCCTGGAGGGAAAATTTTGAGTGCATGCTTCTCACTGGCTTCCAGAGTTCCCCAGTGGTATTAAACTGTAAGTTGCACAAGCAATAAATGCTGGAGAGGGTGTGGAGAAAAGGGAACCCTCTTACACTGTTGGTGGGAATGCAAATTAGTACAGCCACTATGGAAAACAGTGTGGAGATTTCTTAAAAAGCTGGAAATAGAACTGCCATATGACCCAGCAATCCCACTTCTGGGCATACACACCGAGGAAACCAGATCTGAAAGAGACACGTGTACCCCAATGTTCATCGCAGCACTGTTTATAATAGCCAGGACATGGAAGCAACCTAGATGCCCATCAGCAGATGAATGGATGAAGAAGCTGTGGTACATATACACCATGGAATATTACTCAGCCATTAAAAAGAATGCATTTGAATCAGTTCTAATGAGATGGATGAAACTGGAGCCCATTATACAGAGCGAAGTAAGCCTGAAAGATAAAGACCATTACAGTATACTAACACATATATATGGAATTTAGAAAGATGGTAACGATAACCCTATGTGCAAAACAGAAAAAGAGACT